TATTGGTAGCAAATGAATATACTTTCAAACTAAACAAAACAACAACTACAACTAAATATTGGAAGTATACATACAATGGTTGCTCTTCTAAAATTCATACATTTTTTTTCTATTAACATATGTTAGTGTTAGCATAAAAAATAAAGAACGTCTCTTCTATTTCAAGATTTTCTAACAAGCATAATGAGCCATTTTCTTAATATATATTTTTTCGACATTTTTCCTTTCGACATTTCTACTGCCAACCGTTATCTCTTGCTATTCTGCGTATTTTTTCTTTCCTGTTCTTCATTCATATAATTTAATATATTGTCATTTAATTGTGAAACGAATAGAACCATTCATAAGAACAAACTACAGATGAAACTTGTTTTTTTGTAATGGGAAAATTACGACATTCACGCAAAAAAATGCTATAGATTGACTAATTCTCTCCGTTGAAGGATATAGGGTGTGGGTGTGGGTGTGTCGGTGTAGGTGTAGATAAAGAGACAGCAAACAGCCACACCCACACCCCACTCTTAAGCTTCGATAAAATAATCATATTCTCAGGTGCTTTTAGTTACTCAATCCCGTGGAATACTAGGTTTTTCACTAGAAAAAATAGCTTTTATTAGGAAAAAAGTAATTTTATTTGCAAAAAAATGTTTTTTTTTTACTAGGGTTACGTTTTCTTTACTTTATGAAATAAATATAAGGACAATCTTTATATTTATAAAATAAACATCAATAAATTCTTTAAATTTTTTTAAATAAAGATTAAAAATTTGATTCTGTCAACTTTGGTCGAAAGTAAAAATGTCGAAAGTAGAGGCGCCACATACCATGTGGGTGATGTGGTAAGTGGCGCCTCTACTTTCGATATTTGTACTTTCGACCAAAGTTGAGATTACCAAAAATTTTTTTATTTTTCAAAAATGAAAATAAATGAAATCTTCATATTTACAAAATAAGGATATAGATTGTTTCTTATTTACCCTTATATACAGCAAAGATAGAATTAATGAAGAAACTTTTTTATGAGAATATTATCTTTAATTTTTCATCAAGTAGCTCACAAAAAGGTACGACACCATATATGGAAATGAAATATACAGAAAATATTTTTCCATATATATTCTTTTTTTCTTGTACCCGTTTGATTTTCTAATGATATCACATGTCGAAGTCATATTTATGGCAAGAAAAAATATTGATTAAAATATTCACTTGTTATACTAGGCATTTCTCTATCTATCTATGACAGAACAAATCTTTATTTATTCTTTATGTTTGAAAATAAATAATTCATCTATATTCATTTTATAAATATAAAGATTTAATGTATCTTTCTTTTTTAAATAATACAGGTTTATTGTTTTAAGTTTTATTTCTTTTCAAATGCGAAGAATTTCATTATTTTAATTTTAAAATGATAGATATTTTATTTAAACTTATTCTTTATTATAATTAAAAATAAAGTAAGACCTATATTTGTTACTGAAAAACCAAGTTTCTATGTGTTGAATTTCATAAAGTCAATAGAATTTCAGACACAAAACTTTTAAGAACTCATAGTCTTCGGTTATGCTTTGTGAAATTTTTTAGTGCGTGGTCTTCTAAATATAATATGATCTTCTATTCTTGACCCGCGTTTGATACAAATCGATCACCTTTTAATTTAGTTGATTGAAATTGGATCTTCCGAATGAAAGGCAACGTTTTATTTGATTTTCTTCCTTGCAGTTTTTTCTTTGTTCATATAAATGCTTTGAGCAAGCAGTCATTTCATATTGAGATTTCTTAAGACGTGTAGCAGAAAAAAAGACTCGATTACATTTCTAACGAACTTCATTTTATAAGCAAGACTTAATTCATTCAAAATTATTTTTGAAAAGGTAATTGCAGTCGGTCAAAATGCATTGAACATGAAATAATTAGATTAAAATTGACTAAAAACATTGCCATTTTAATCGATTTTTCAATCAGAAAAACTAAACTAATTAGAATCAGACTTTTTTTCATTTTGTTGACACAGGGCAAAACTTTTCGCCCTGCCCTGCCATTCATGGGTCCTAGGGAACCGGGGAAGTTTTCACCATGGGATAGAGAATGTTGAATTCTACTTGGAACACAAATGAGACCACTTGGAACGCTTTCTGAGCGAATATGAGCAGGAATTACTCCCCGGGTTCTCCAGGGCCGATGTGGAAAAATCTCTATTTTTGGATTTGTACAAGAATAGTTCAAACTATCGTCAATTGGTTTTCATCATTGGATAGAGAATGTTGAATTCTACTCGGAACACAAATGATACCACATCTCTCGTAAACTATAATTGTTTTGCAGGATAATCAATCACTGAAGTAAAAGCTTCTCCACTTTCTGCACTTCGAACAAAATTTTTTAATTTTTTTCTACGAGCGCTCTACTTTATGGTTTCATTGTTGCTATTCGGTAATTATTTTTAATTTTTTTTTCTTAATTTGTCATTTTTGTGTACCCAAAAAGTGAGCACACTACAGAATCGGTCAGTGTCCGGCCGGCCGTTTACATGATAACTCTCGAGAATATGAACCGATTGTCATGAAACTTTCTGCATAGAATTGTCTCATTGATATCTCGATCGAGTTCGAAGATAAGAATGATTCGTCAAGAAATTGCTGACTTATCGCAAAAAATGTCATTATTTCCTATGCTTTTCTATGCAAATATTGACCTATCCCGGTTTTCGTAAAAAAACTCTTTTTCTCATAATCAAACAAAACCTCAGCTATTTTATACCATTTGATAGAGAATTTCACGGGCTACAAAATGGTATATAAAACATTAAGAAACAAGAAGGCTAAGTCACCTATTGCAAAGATACTTGCACGGAAATTGCTTCTGTGTTTGTCCACGCTCTGATTGATCGAAAATTAAAACCTTATCTTCCAAACAGAAGCGATACTTTGAGGTTTTATCAAACTTCAACAAAGGTTTTCTGGGGCGGAGAACTTGAATCTGAGCTTCACTTACCTCGAAATCCTATTGGTTAAACAGTAACCAATAGAAATCAAGTTTTAGGAAAAACGACTTTCTTTGGGTATTTCAAGGCGAAGAGTTCAAATCTGAGCTCCACTTGCCTCGAAATTCTATTGGTTGAACAGTAACCAATAGAAATCAAATTTTAAGAAAAATGGCTTGCTAGGATGACTCACCTGTTTACTTTTTGAAGTACACATAACACTCGAATTTAAATTCGAGGTTTCCACATTTATTATTATTATAATCATTGAATTGATTGATAAATAAGTTTGTCTTACATATCTATGATATCTACAACAGATCTTACACACTATCATATATATTAATCAAGTCACAAATAATGATGTTCATTACTTTCCCTAGTCGACTTTCCACAATCAAAATCTCCGGGGACTCCATATCGGGAATCCCCGGGGAGTTGATGAAGGATTTAGAAAAACTTCAGGGAATCCCCGGGAAATTTTACGAAGACTCCCTAGGTACTTTTTGGGGAGTTCATAACCATTAGCAGAGACTCTTCAAAAAGTTACTGAGTCTCCTGCAACATTTAAACCGTAAAAATTTCATCGAAATTTTCTAAGACGTGGGGACCCCCGGGGACTTTTAGGGAGTCCTTTACAGCGTGCAACTCCTGGAGGATTCCGCGTTTTTCAGGGGACTCCCCGGGGATTTTATTAGGGAGAGTGGACTAGGGTTCCTAAAAACACTCTAGAAAATCTAACACCTTTTATTCTGGATTACTAATGTCTGTACGGGGGGCCTGTCTGTAATGGAGAGGGGGAGGGGCGCGCGAGCGGTGCAAACATGATCTTAAAACTTACACTCACTATTTTCTTCGAAAATATATGTGAGTTCCACAAAAATGAAGTAACAAGACAAATTCTACATTTTTCTCTGTTTTACGAATCAATCCTGAAGTTTCAATCAGGCTTATCTCTTAGATACCAAGAAGAACAAAGCCTTATTTACTTACCACCAGCTTCTGTCAGTTGGTTTCTATAGAGTTTGCGTATCTCGTTGATTTTAGTGAATACTATTTTATATTATGCTTACGCAATAAATGAGTCATAGTAGGAAGTTGGAAAAAACCAGCTTTTTTGTCTCATTTTTTTAGTGATGAAAGCAAAAGAAATGCAACGCAAAATAGTGACGCTACTGAGTAATCAATAACAACATTAAAATATTTTTCTACTTCCTAAAATTTGTTTTCTCAGAAAACTAGATGGCGTGCTCGCAGAGCTAGGCAAGTTGAAGGTTTCTCAAGTCACAAGTCAAGTCAAGTCACTAAAAAGAATTTCAAGTCAAGTCAAATCAAGCCAAGTCAAGTCATTCCTCGAAATTTTTTTCCTAGAATTTAAGTCAAGTCCGATTAAAAGTTAGACAGAACATAACATTTACTAGCACTTATCGGATGAGGATCAATTTTTATAGTTTCAGAATTCTATTTCATGGTAAAAAAACAATGCCTATAAGAAACAGAACTGGGCAAGTCAGAGGCTTCTCAAGTCACAAGTCAAATCAAGTCACTAAAAAGAATTTCAAGTCAAGTCAAGTCACAGCCCAAAAATTTTTTTCGACCAAGTCAAGTCTGACTTGACTTGAGGCATTTTTTGACTTGACTTGCCCAGCTCTGCGTGCTCGAGAGTGTTTGTGGGTGTTGGTGTGAGCGAGTACTTACTGGTCATCAACAGACACCCACCCACCCGCCCACACTCTCATTCGAATAAAGATATTCACTTAACACTTGGCATATTAGAAAACAGAGAGCATTCGATTGATGAATAGTGTATCATGATTAATATCTATGGATAAAAATAAATGAACAAGTTAAATTAGGGCTTAAACCATACAATTAACTCTTAATAAATTATTTTATTTTTTATTTAATGAAAATTAAAGTGAACATTTGAGGAAAATACTGATTTATTCAGAAATATGCATGAACTCTTGAGAAAACGGTATAATAAAATTAATCAATTAACATCGAGGGCAATGTGGATATGGACCATATCCAAAATAATACGTGTAAGTAAAACCAGCATAATTGAATTGAATTTTATCATAAATGTCGGCTTGCTGATTTCTATCAACTGGTAGTGTCAAGGCCCATTGAGAATCAGCTTGAAAAGCAATTATTTCTGGTTGATTATTTTTCATTGTATATTCACCAATAATTGTTTTCAGCTCACTGGATGGTATAGATCTTAATTGAAAAGTTAAATGATTTAATGACCATCGACCATCCAAAATACACGAAACATTGGTATGTTTTTGCAATGGATCCATATTTGATGAACTACAATCCCATACATAAACATCATAATTTATTTGTAAATCAAAATTCCACGGTGTTGTTTGTTGATTATTTAAAGTCAGAGGCTGACCAATACAGCAATACCATTCACTGCGTGTACGACCCATACAACAACCTTGATCACGTAAACAATCAGGACATTGACCAAGAATATTTGTGATTGAGATCAATATAATCAAACTTATTACGATGACCACGACGTTTGCCATGTTGATACGTGAAATAGAAAAGGGAACATTATTATTCTGGCTTACACTTTTCTATTTTCGAACAGGTGAAAATTAGAAAGAAAAATCTCATAGCTATGCATGCCTTATGAAATGGTCACTGAGTTTAAGAAGCAGAACAAATGCCATTATTCTCATACGCATTGTAACGACATGCATAAAATTTGATTTTTGTGATTAAATATAAATAATAAATCACATCGTGTTCGTTTTACTGTAGTTTTATTACCAAATTTTAAGTGCATTATTTCTAACACTAAGTTATACTCGAATGTTTAATACAACATATAAACAACATTAAGACATTTTTCCTAACAGTGCCATATGAATTTAGTCGTTTAACTTAATTGAAAATATGTGCCATCACAGGGCGTCAGAAAACATGTCGAGCTGTATACTATAGATCAAATGTACATATACTAATACAAATTGTATAAATCAAATGCCTAAATCATGTGAATTTTTGTTGACACGAGGTGAAAAGCTATTCAACAGCAAAGCCAAACATTTTATACTCTAAAGAAACGGGTGTGGGTGTAATGAAGAAAGAAGAATATCCTTGCCTTTCGGCTACCTTTCAGTATAGGGTGCTGTCCAAGAACAGTTTCGAAGGTCCGATGTTTTCCTGCAGCTCTGGACAGAAGGCCAGCCTGACTCAGAGTTCCTCCCACTTAATCACTTAAGCTCCCCATGCATACTGAGTAACCACATACTAGCCACAAGGGCTTTTTATGTATGTCACACGTAGTCAGCATGCTATCGGATGGGTGATCCGAGATAAACAGCCGTTAGTAACTTGTCCAAGGTCATTCTATGTCTGCGGGCGCCGAGGTTCGAACACACTATTTTGTGGATATGTGTCGAACATCTTAACCATTCAGTCGTAGCGATTTGGTTGTGGGTGCGAGTGTAGGTATCGGGGTAGTGTGACTCACCCCTGAATACATACTAACACCCATACCCACACCCGACATGCACTCATTCTGTGAATGATGCGTCATTCACAGAATGAAAACGGAGAGAACGAAACGTTATTATCAAGTCATATCAACATACATAAGAATCCTGTGTGTGCGACTATGGGATGCAGATCAAAGCGCATATCAAAATAACCAAGGCACTGCTCTCTTACAAAAGACATTATCCAAGTCATTATGCAACGTGAAACAAAAAACATGTAGGCCTATAAGAATAGTACCCAAAATGTGCAGAACTTATGCTCTAAGGGGATATTTGTCTATTGACATGCTCAATTTGTTCCTTAATTGATTCGCATAAATCATAAAGATTCGTATAAATTCCAATCATTTTTCAATATTCATTTAATAAATATTCATTTTGATTTTTTTCGTACTAAAGATAAAATTTGAATCGATTCGACGAAAGGATGAAATTCAAGGTAAAATTAGTGATGCTTCTGCTTCGAATGTAATTAAAAAACAATTTTTCTTTATTAATTAATTGAATAAGTGTAATACATTGTTCAAGATCAGAAGAAAAAAGTACATAATCCTTAATAAGATGAAGTTGTTGTTTTGTTTTTTTCAGTATTTTCATGTGATCCAATGTTTGAATTACACCCAATAAATGCTATACTTTCTTTGTTTTCATCATTGTTTGTACTTATCTTCAATGCTTTGAACTGGTGATTTGTAAGCTATATAAAATGATATAGAATTTTATGGTGATGATGTAAATATTGTTGTTATACACGAAACAAGAAGTTTGAATATATTTGTAAGGAATTCGTTTGAAGAAGCTATAAATCGAAGGTCGAAATATACTTTCTTTTTATATTAATAAAAAAAAGAATGATTCCTTTTGTTAGCGTCAGTGATGATACACACTGACGCTAGACGGAGATTGAGCTGGTCCTTCTAGTCTAACTGGATTAGGACATCTGCCCGGATAGCAGAAGGTGTGGGTTCGATCCCCACGAAGGTCACTTTTTCTCCGTTCT